TTTTCCGTGTACCGTTTTGCAATTTTCGCAATAATAATTGAGATATTAATTTTAAAAGATTGACGAATAATCGCGCGTTGCGCGTTGCTAGACCGTGGACAGTACATTCTAGGCGTGACAACAATGAGGATCGCACGGCAACGAAAAATAACGCGTAGCGAGAGCAGGAGTAATATGCGTTGTTTTTTTTTGTTGCCATGCGATCCTCATTGCTGTCACGCCTAGAGCGTACAGCCTACGATCTAGCCGCGATCGACGCGCAATTATTCGTCAATCCTTTTTAATTATTATCTCAATTACTATTGCAAAAATTGCAAAACGGTAAAGGATTTTTCTATTCAGTTTACCGCACTCTATCCGCACACGAGCGTTGGCACGGACATTATAAAACACCCTGTATAATTAAATTTTATAATACTATTTTTGGTTGAAAGTCAAGAAAAAATCGAATTGTGTTAAATTTTAAATTTATTTACATTATATTTAAATTAAATTAACTTACGATTAATTCTGGTTTATTTAAATATTTAATCAATTGGAATATGAATATCGCTATATGAATAACGTTACGCGTTTTTTTTGGAAAAACTGTTCATATATGTCTATAACACATAGATGTAAAAAATTTTCCGACATTAAACAAAGATAATTAAATTAAAATATCTTAGAGAGGAGAAAAGAGGAAGGGGCAGAACCTTGTTATTTTTTTTCTTTGATAATGGAAAAGCTTACGTCTACAAGACATATATTTCTAACATGTATAGTTTTTTACGCAGCTGCTAATTTTTGGTTGACAGCGAGAAGCGCGAAGTTGTGAACACAATTACTTGTTTAACATAAATGCAATCTATGCAATCTAATGCAGAAGTAGAGGATATTTAAATGTCATATCATAATTAACATATAATCAATTTATATGTTTAATTATGATTACAATAATCAAACTGATGGAAAAGGGAAATAAAAAAACCACAGATAAATGTGCATACTGAACTTATGTATTATGTATTACAACTGTGTTACTGAACTTATGTATTACAACAAACTTGGCACACGTTTTGGCCTGTATGAGGACATCTGCAATAATAATCTTTTTACCAGTAAATACATGAATATTATACATAATTATTATAGAAATTAAAAATTGCTTGGCAATACGCTGCGATGTGTAAAAAATGAAGCCAAAAGAGGTGCACGTGCCGACAAAGACAGTTGAATAAATTTCAAGAATTATCAAACCGTCCTATTTAGTGTTGTTATCTTTACGACTATAACGAAAAGATAACTTTTAGCGCAAACTTATAGCGTATTATCAGGCGATTTTTACTTTGATAATTATTGTTCACGTGTTTATAGGTAGAAAAGAGAGTTATCGCGTTGAAAAATGGCCCGATAAAGGCTAGAACGTACAGAGGGTTCACGAGTACTTTGCCAGGAAAATTTTCTCCGAACTGATATAAAATTGGAAAAAAAGAATGCTATCCATCCCCGCTAAATCGATCCCAAGAATTAAAAAAAATATTTTTGAGCTCCCCTGACTCCTTTCAGGGATTTTGGGAGAAAAAGCCTATTTTTAATATTTTCTTATGGAAAGATATATTTTAACTTTAGATTCGAAAAAAAAATCGAAAAATAAGACTTTTTTACTTTTGGGGTTTTTTTTTTAATTTTTAAGTTATTGGGGATTAAACCTCTTTAAAACTTGCGGGAAGACTTGTAAAACTTTGCGCACACAATTAATAATAAAATTACTAACTAATGTAGTATTATACTTGATTTATAATTGTCTTCTTAGAATTAGCGCTTTTATTACGCGGCGGCAGCGGCTTTGATCATGCGGTGAAATATCATACGCTGGTCTAGTGCCTACTGACCTAGTGAAACCTTAGACCTGCGATTACTATTCCTCGAAAGGAAATGCAACTGTCGAGCGAGTCATCTCGTCATCAGCATATTATAAAGAATTATATTATTGTAAACTATCGGTGGATATTGATACGATTGTTAGCTAGCGGCGAATAATTATTATAATAAGATTTAACGGCATCTTTGATGTAAAGGTATATAAACCGGGATCCCGACGAAGTCGAGCAGTCGAGAAAAATCCTGACACTACGAAAGATTAAAGTTGTATATTCTCTAAAGTTTGAATCTTATTCATTCTCGTACTCATCACAGTAGAGTAGCGCTACCGTATTTAGGCTACTGCTACAGTTTTATTAGAAGTAGGATTAATTTAGTTCAGTACCTATGTACAAGAGAGAAGCGTTACCGCACTTAGGCTTCTACAAATTATCAGAAGTGGGATAAACGATTCGAACAATTTGAATAAAACGATAAACGATTTAAACGATTCGGCTACAGTAAGAATCGATTGCAGTGAGCATATTGAACAGTATGGTGGATGAGCCGATCGCCGTAAGAATATTTAGCAGTCGCGTGGGCTAGACGCCATTCCAAGAAATATTCGTTGTTTGGAAAGACTTCCGAGTGTACTAGAAACATGTCGGATCCAAACAAGTTTAAGGTCGTGCAATTGAAGGAAATATTGCAAAGGTGGCAATTATTCTCAATTGGAAACAAAGTGGAATTAATCGCGAGGCTACGAGAGGCAGATCTAGAAGGCAACTGGATGCGTGAACTAGAAAGAGCTGAAACGAATGCAGCGTCATCAGTAGGAGACGAAGCATTAGAAAACGATCTCTCGACATTGCCACAAGACAGTACATGTACACTTAGAAATGGAATGTCAGAGGAAGTGCTGAAAGAATTCGAATTACTAAGACGAGAACAACGGCTGATGGAAAGAGAGCTGCAGATTGCAGAGAGAGAGAACCAATTGCGAAGCAGAGCAGACAACAGAGAGAGCAGATCGGAAATGCACTCAAGAATCAACATTAAGGCAGTAAGTGAGCTGTTAAGTGAATTCGACGGATCAGAAGGCCTATTCCCAAATTGGGAAAAACAGTTGAGGCTACTTATATCAACATATCAAATAGATATGAACAATGCAAAGTTGCTGTTGGGAACGCGACTTAAAGGAAGAGCGATGGAGTGGTTCGATTCCCGTCCCGAGCACATCGAATTAAGTGTGGAGGGAATATTGACGGAAATGAAGAAAATGTTTGACCATCGGCAAAATAGGCTGAAGCGACGAAGACAGTTCGAGGAGCAAACTTGGAAGACTGACGAAAGTTTCAGTACCTACTATCACGAAAAAATCATTTTGGCAAATTGGGTTTCAATGGACGATGAAGAGATAATAGAGTATCTCATCGACGGTATATCCAACATACAATTGAGAAATCAGGCCCGGTTGCAGCAATTCGATTCAGGAGCGGAACTATTAGCCGCCTTCGAGAACATCAGTTTGACAGAGTCCAAGGGTCGTTCAGAACGCGATTATAAGACATGGAGCAGGGACTAGAAAGGGGTACGAGTTTATGTGAAAAAGG